AGAAGCTCCTTCAGAATTACAGATACGTCTTGCCGACAAGTGCCAACAAGCATGAAACCAATCCAAGGTTCCTTTCCGATCGCCTTCTACCATCTGATTGAAACAATTGACATTGCATTTTGTAGTCGTAAGCCACCTACCATTGTGGCCACATTGCAAACTTGACTGGTCGAAATAGTTAACCCACGGTGTGGATGCATACTGCTGACAATGATTGGTATTCTGTTGAAAAATGTACGTGGCAAACTTTCTTCAGTCTTGTTGCCGTATATTGAATAATAATTAAATTGATTTTTGTATCCGTTTGTTTAAATGCATTATTACTATTATTGTTTTTCACCCGCTTATTATGATTTTGTTTATTTTCTTTCTTCTCCTCCTCCCCCATAGAAATAATTGGAAAAAGTTTTCACCGAAAACCAATATTATGTGGTTTCACTACCTAACGACAAAACTATGCAGTGATTTGCCGGAAGTAACCTCATTATCTGCTGCTTCCCTTTGCATCAAACGTCATACTATTTGTTGTAAACAGTTGAAAGTCTTAGTTGAGTGCTCAATTCTAAGTCTTTCAACAGTCAGTTGCTAATAACCATCAGATTGATTAATCAAGTGTTAGTGTATGCAGGAGGATTTGAGTGGTTACAAGTATAATCACAAGCTAGCTGACAACATCATCAGTTAAAGAAGCTTTTCAGGCAAAAGTCAGAAATCGTAGGTCATTGCATCGAGTCCCAGTGGCTGAATGGTTTGACTGAAAGGTTTTTCAGTCGGATCGCAGTGGTAATAATGTATTGCTGAAGAGTCTAAAGCTAGGATAAAACAGCTGGTTGGCTGGTCATCCAATGGTTCCCTAACTGATATCAACTCATGATCAAATCTGAAATTTGCAACAAAAGGACAACAACTTTGGTCTATACTTGAAAACACAAAAAAGCAAATCATTTTATGTATACCTACCGATTATGTGATTTCATATGACGATATATGTCGAATTGATAATCACCTTGGGACTGAAACAAATTCGGATCACTACTTAAGTCAACATAGACTAAAGCATCATCTACAATCAAAGAGGAAACATTTCATACAACAAAAGTGACTGAAGGTGTGTGTGTCTCTGTATATATGTGGTCAATGAAAGTTGGGTATCTCCTATAGATAAGACAATGTTGACCTATTTACAAGAGTTACCCATACATCATCATCATCATAATTTCCCCTAAACTTAGCTTGACTAATGGTGGCCCTGCGTGAACGACCAACAATCCCACTACGTGGATGACGCATGGACTCCGGTCTTTCTTTCGAAATACTCTCCTCCTCATCATATGGTGACAACCGTTCATAGCCTCTGTCAGATAAATCATATTTATTACTACATCTACTACTGAAATATGGGTCCCCACAAAATAATTATCACTTATAGCTTAGTAGTAGGTGATTAAGATCTAACTGACAGTGGATTAATGTAGTAAACAGCATAACTTATCTAGCGGTAAATTGTCTTCCGAAAGTCACTGAATAAATAATTTTCTATAAAATGAGAATAAAAGTAGCTTAGGGTCAATTCAACAAGTGAAAAGGGTGAGTGCATATGTACAGAATGGAGATTTCGGGGTTGTTTTGACAAATCGCCCTACACAAATCCTTAAACCTGACACTCTGTACCATTTGGCTCACCTTGTAGATGATCCTGTAAGACTACTCTGGTGGAGTCACGTGGCTTGATTTCACCAAATGCTCGAGAATTGAGCTAGGAATTGCCTTGCATTGTCGTTTTCCTAACCATGCCGGATAATGTTCAGAGATGCGTTTGGAAGGTGTCCGCGAAGTTGTTCCGCCAATATAACTAGCTCCACACGAGCAGCAGGTGAATTTATAAACACACACCGAAGTGGCTAGTCCAAAGCGCCAGTTTATCCTTCGTGCATCCATTGATCATCTGTCGGCTGTAGAAATTGATTGATCCGTAGCTCATCCGTAAAGAATGCTTCCCTCAGTAATCTGCATAAGCGATTGTTCAGGATCTCAGGTGCGGTATCACCTTTAAATTCAACGCTCATAAATAGCGGTGGGTTGGTAACCGTCTGATTTCTTTCAGGCTCTTGCTTTAACTTCATGATTTTCTCGATAAATCTTGGAGGATATCCATTCTCCGCTAGGACTTGTCTGAGCCCCTCCAGTTCCCCTGTTGTTAAGTTGATACTCAGCTACTTTTATTGTCACTCAATAAAAATTTTTATCTTATCAAATTTCTTACTTTTTGCCGTTAAGTACCACGTAATTTACAACTTTTATTTTTTTACTTCTAAAGCCACTTCTGAGTAATTATATCAATCATGCCACCTCCTACGCTACTATATATATTTTGGTAAATATAAATACAACTGTACACAGCTAGCCTCGGAAGATGATTTCGTCGATAAAGAAAATTTTCTTCGTTGAACTTGTCTTTTATTTTCTTCATAATGGCGTTTGACTAAGCGATTCATAGTTTGCTAGTTAATCAGCTAAAGGCCATGATGCAGCCAGCGACTGCTGTTACACTAGTGCATCATCGATTGATTGCTGGTTTACTACGCACTCACTCGTCTTCTCGTGGTGGGAGAGAGGGGGTTCTACTTTTGAATCCACCGATGCACAATCCTTAACCTCTCTCGCTCCACCGGTAGTAAGGAATCTCGATATAGTGGGAGGGGGGAGTTGAGGAGCATGGGATATAATCAGAAGGAAACACCACCACTTTGTCTTAGGATACATGTTATCTCCAAGTTTGGTGTGCGGCTGCAACACAACACATGATAGTGTTGGTTCGCGTTTCGAAAGAAAGCCCCAGATTGTTAAGTTAAAAGTCACTTACCTGGAACACATTGTGTCGATCAAAGGACGTGTATTGCTCAAGAGTTTGCTCCGTGATCCTTCATCGCTGTTGAGTAGTAGTGAGACATGGCCATTGTAGGTAAAGGAGATGAAAAGGTTAACTGTCTTTGATTTACCATAGGTGTTTGCTTTTTAACTCTTATTGTTAGATGGTACAGTAGGTTGAGTAATATCAAATTTAGGGCCTAGAGTGTTAGGTGATTAGGGTGGTAAGTGAATCGACGAGGTTGCTAGGCGCTACATCTATGGAGATGACTAAACCAATTCAATAGGAGGGAGGAGGTGTAGGTTACCTGATTGAGAGGTGTTCATGGGATCTTATGAACCAATGAAGGCATGAAATAATTGGTGATATGGCTCAAAATCGTCGTTGTCAATGGCTGGCACATATGCATCCACTCCTTGAGATTTATCATATCCAATCAAACTTTATTGTTCTTCGATATTACTATTCTTCTTTTTGCCTCATATCTCTGTTCACTGTCTGTATTTTGCATTTCTTTTTACTTTCTTCTCTTGCTTTGTCTACTACTTGGAGTATGATGACTCGAACTGCTGTACATCGGTGCAAAGTTTTGTGTTGAAATCAGTCAGTATCCTCAGGACTTTAAGAACACCAATCAAGGCTGAAGACAATTCCTAGAGGAACATAGGGTTTCAGCCGCGCGTCTCCATTGCGTTCGGTCCTCTTCCAACGTTTTCACCCAGTTCCAATTCTCCCACTCGCTTTCATCTCCTCATCACATGACCTACTCCAAGTCACCCTTGGACTACCAACTCGCCACTTCCCATTCGGGTCCCACTCGAGCGCTTGTCTACTGATGTCACTTAATAGTTTCCTCCAACATAATGTTGAGTGATTCATATATCACTCAAAACCTACAACACGGCCGTTTCGTCCCTAGTTTAGGACTCCTCGTCAGTATGAACTAACATTGCAACTTTCGAACCCAGGAATGATCTACCGGTTACAATGTGAGTTTGTAGACCATCCAACCACTAGGACCTACCCAATCCAATCACCCATGAATTCCAACGCGCCTGCCAATTCGTGATACATATATATAGCGCAACAGCCAGTCAATGGCATAAGTGAAAGTGAGGGAACTGATGTCTTATCTGACTTGATGGACCCCGTCGGTTACAACTTCTCACTAAAACTCCAGGTAACTTTTTCCTGCATACAGTCAGTTGCTAATAACCATCAGATTGATTAATCAAGTGTTAGTGTATGCAGGAGGATTTGAGTGGTTACAAGTATAATCACAAGCTAGCTGACAACATCATCAGTTAAAGAAGCTTTTCAGGCAAAAGTCAGAAATCGTAGGTCATTGCATCGAGTCCCAGTGGCTGAATGGTTTGACTGAAAGGTTTTTCAGTCGGATCGCAGTGGTAATAATGTATTGCTGAAGAGTCTAAAGCTAGGATAAAACAGCTGGTTGGCTGGTCATCCAATGGTTCCCTAACTGATATCAACTCATGATCAAATCTGAAATTTGCAACAAAAGGACAACAACTTTGGTCTATACTTGAAAACACAAAAAAGCAAATCATTTTATGTATACCTACCGATTATGTGATTTCATATGACGATATATGTCGAATTGATAATCACCTTGGGACTGAAACAAAGTAGGGTCACTACTTAAGTCAACATAGACTAAAGTATCATCTACAATCAAAGAGGAAACATTTCATACAACAAAAGTGACTGAAGGTGTGTGTGTGTGTCTGTATATATATATATATATATATATATATATATATATATATACATGTATATATATGGTCAATGAAGTTGGGTATCTCCTATAGATAAGACAATGTTGACCTATTTACAAGAGTTACCCATACATCATCATCATCATAATTTCCCCTAAACTTAGCTTGACTAATGGTGGCCCTGCGTGAACGACCAACAATCCCACTACGTGGATGACGCATGGACTCCGTTCTTTCTTTCGAAATACTCTCCTCCTCATCATATGGTGACAACCGTTCATAGCCTCTGTCAGATAAATCATATTTATTACTACACCTACTACTGAAATATGGGTCCCCACAAAATAATTATCACTTATAGCTTAATAGTAGGTGATTAGGATCTACCCCGTCTATGGCGTAGACGAGATGTTCGACTATCGACCAAAGGGCGGGTGTACTGCTCATCAGTCCTCTTTTATGGTTGTGAGAACTGGCCACTGTGAGTGGAAGACATGAAAAGACTAGCTGTCTTTGATCATAGGTGCCTGCGCTCTATTTCCCGTGTAAAGTGGCATAATAAGGTGAGAAACATTGAGGTTAGGCGTAGAGTTCTAGGTAAACAGGGCAAATCAATCGACGAAGTCGTGAAGTTACAAAGACTGAGACGGTTAGGACATGTATTACGTATGCCAAGCCATCGCCTCCCTCGACGAGCAATGTTAGCGGATATAGGGTCAGGCTGGAAAAAAGCTAGCGGCGGTCAAACAAAAACTTGGCACCAGTCAATGAAATCCACAACAGTTGGTCTAGGCCACGTAGGAAGGTGTAGACTTCCAGGCTGGGGTCCTCGGGACGGTAAATATCTATGGTTGGAAATAATTGGTGACATGGCTCAAAATCGTTCTCAGTGGCTAGCGCAGATGCATCCACTCCCTGTGACTTATGATCTTCAATGAAACTGTTTTGTTTTTCGTTATTACTCTTCCTTTGTCTCACACCTCTGCTCACTGTTTCTATTATGCTTTTCTTGTACTTTCTTCTCTTGCTTCGCGTGCTACACGGAGTGTGGCGACTTGAACTTCCGCACATTTGTGCAAAGTTCTATGTCGAAAATAGACAGACAGACAGACAGTAAACGGCATAACTTATCTAGCGGTAAATCGTCTTTCGAAAGTCACTGAATAAATAATTTTCTATAGTGCTATATACTTTCTCATCAGTTGAGTTGACAGCATGTCTACTATGTACAGATAGAGTTTAGACCTCCTCCTCATCATCATCATCATCGATTTTCTCTTGAATCGCTGCACTTTTTGAAGTAAGATTCACTTACAAACTGTCGATGAACCTGATGCTCGCGCTGGTTGTAGGATTAGTTTTGCCCACAGATTTAGTCCTTCCTCAGTACTGACGATACACAGTCCTGGCTTAACTATACTTAAAAACAGAGTGACTTGACTTAAACTTCATCTGTTTCTAAAACATAAAATAAAGCAAAGTATACAATTACACCAAGAAAAGCACAAAATCCATTGTCACTCAAGAAAAGACAAAAACATACCGAACAGTATAGAAGGAACAGACAAAATGGACAGTTAATTAATTACATATACACACACAGAATAGAGTGACAGGAATAAACAACATTCAAGGTCACATCACGCGGTCAGAGTTACATTAATTTAGCCAACAATCGCGACAGAGTCACATATATCGATTAGCTGTCCGCCAAACTATCTATCTATCTCCCGCGATTAACAGTGGAAACAGGCTACATGACAAGGTTGTCTGGAGGTCTGGTAAAAGGCATGACCAGTGGGAACCACTTAGTCGGGTGGGAGGACAAACACACTTTTGTGGCACTGACTGGCTGATCCGCTGTATATACCGAAAGAGACAGTAAACTTTTGTGCAGTGCATACGTCAAAAACTGACTGTCGCTAGTCAGAGATCACGTGTACGCTAGAGATACCTCATGTCAGAAAAGTGCCATACGAGGCTTTTGTATCTATGCTGATATTTTGTCAGCAATCATATTATTAGGGTTGAAACATAATTTATTATGGTTGATACATAATTTATAAGCAGCTATGTGGTGAGAGCTGTCTACTAGCAGGAAAATTGGTAGGCAACAATTTACTTCTATCTTTGCGTCCCAAATCGGGGTCATGAGAAAAAACAATGACAAAGACCAGTCTTGAGGAACTCAACACACAATCACAGCAGACTTTACGTAGGTGGATGCGATCAGCAGATATATCAACGGACTGTCTAGTAAACGGCGTCAAATAGGTGACAGAATAACCTTCAGCAGCAAAACAACCAATCAGAAGACGTTGCTTCTCTGCTAACGACAACGCTAATTATAATAATGTACATAAAAATCTATAAATATCTGTTGATTTTCCCAGTAAACGATCTGTTACCTGCCTGGCCCTTGTCTTCTGCTGTTACAATAAGAGTATAATACTTCACTAATTAGATATGGGCACAGCATAGTTCTCTCCATTCAGAGGTAACTGTAATATCTTTCCTTCAGATAAAAATCCCAATGGAATCGGATACAATAGATAGAAAACAAGTAGTAGAAACACACACACACACTGAAGTCGATAATCAGTCTTTGTGCTCACATCACAAAACTTACAATATTTTTCTCAAGCGGTACACCACAAAATGCCGATTCTAAAACCACCCATAGCTGGTCTTTGGGAAAGATTTCTGAAGTGATGAAATAGGAAGAAAGAATTTGAAAAATTGCTAATATTGAAAAAGTGAAATACAGCATATATTAAAAGTGAATTAATAAGCTTCTAAAATGTATTCATCACACATTTTGTTTCGATAAGTAGAATTCGAATAACGCGTGAGAACAACAGTGGTAGTTTGTGCAGTAGAGAAGATGATGATGATGATGATGTGATGGTATACCACCATCTTTAATTTTTTTTATTTCGCTGGCTTCTCATCATCAGCACAGCTGCTTACAGTCATCAAAAGACAGTTTTAAGATTGTGTACAGAAACCATCACATAGTGACTTACTTGCACACAGCGAGTTCAAGTAGTTTAAAGAAAGTAAATGTTTGCATACACAACGGCACAGGAGTCACGTAATAAATAAGGACGACAGAAGGCGACAGAAAATGATGAGTAACTCACCAAATTGAGTAACGATACACTCAATCCAATTCAAATCATACAAACAAGAGACAAGGAAAATTACAATATCTTTTTCTTATTATTTTTGGTTACAGCTTGATTCCACACCGTATTCTTTTTTGGTACAGGCATGGAATTTTCAGCATGTGATATCCGCGTAGCCCAAATTTCCCAGGCCGACCATAGATATTAGGTGTGCATCGGGAAGGCATCGAACCACGGACCACTATGTGCATGGTCGGTGAGAGTCCTAACCAATGTGACACCAACGCACATTGCTTTTTGTGATTTGTTCCAATTGATAAATAGAGGAATGAATGTATGATTGCATTTTACCGGCTGAAAACTGGACTAACCACCAAGAGGTTCGAGCTTGATGCCCTACTGACGTACTACGTACAGACAAGGTTGAACGTGAAGTTATTGACCCTATTCTGTAAAAAACAACAACAATAATAATAACACCATAGCGCTACTGAAAACTTCACAGCTTGAAGCCCTAACGCGACCCACCACACCAGAGAGAGCACAAAGAATGACCACAGTGATCTAGGAGATAACGACTTTTTGTTTGAAACGATGAGCGCTAGGTTCAGGTCTCGGCGGAAGAGCTATCACCACCAGTCACTGTCACTGGAAGTCGAATGGAAACAGATGGGTAGGATGGCTGAGTAATATCGAGGAGATCATATGAGGAGGAAATAAGAGCTTATGATCAATTCCGGAGTCAGTTAAAGGGGGGGATAGAAAATTACCACAAAGTGGAGGTGTGGGATGGAACCTTGGGAAATTATAATAGTAGTAATAATGATAATACGCTGAACAAACTAATCATGTTAATGAGTAAATAATGAGTACACACTTTCTGAAAACAAAACTACACAAATACCCACCTTTTTCATACTTGGATGATCATTTTCAGAACCTTTCACTCTATCGTATTCCTCCCTCGTCATAATGGAACACACTAGTCCGAGGTCATTGAAAACCAGGATACAATGAGCAGCTGTTTCGTTCTACTTCGGAACTCCTCGACAGTCCTCACCCACGATTCAAGGAGCGACCAAACCCTGGATTTTCAACTGACGTGGGAAGCTTAACCTGGATAGGTGTCCTGAAGCTGTAATGAGACGTTGCAGACAGTGTGGTCAACCATGTGAAGGCGAAGAGGATGCTCCCGAGAGGAAATTACCCGGCGATAGCCAACCAGCTTGTCGTAGTAACTAAAAGGTCCCGGATTCGATCGCTAGTAGCGCCATAAGTAATCACCTCTAAAGAGTTTTAATATAGGAAGAAACAGCTGTCCAGTATTCCCTGATGGGTTTCAACAGTCTTTGCAACCGTTATTAGTTCGTGAGGAAATCTATTTTGAAATTAATCCAAATATCCCTACAAAAAAACCATAATTCGAAAACACGAGACACTCAATACACAATAAACATATTGTGGTGGTACCTTGTGAAATTTGGTCTTACAGTAAGAGCAATTAGAATGCATGAACACTCTCAGAGACACTTCAACGTTAGCGAGTACACAAACAACTTTATCATGAAGCTTTAAGAAGTGTTGAATAAACGGGATGCATCAACAGTTAACAATACGAGTAGTCGAAATGATTCCAAATTGTTTGGCTTTAAAATTTGTTTACAAGATCTCATCATGAACAGAACCACTGGAAAACTGGCTGTGAGGACTGGACAGCCAGTTTTTCCGTCCTAGTTTATCACTCTTCAGTACTACGCATCCACTGTCAAGGTTCGAGCCCGGGACCTACCGGTTACAAGGCGACCTCGTAGACCATCAAGCCAGTGGGGACTCGATCCAATGGCCAATTCACAATATACAGCGACTGGCACTAATCAATGTCATCCACGGCGAGTATTTGTCTTCATACCCGATTTGCTAGACCCTACTGGTCATGGTGAAACTGACAGAATACTATTGATGAGTAGAAAACAAAGCTAGTGAGACGCCTGACATGACGATCATCTAACTGCTCATACTACTGCCACCTCTAATGGTATGTATCTTCATACAGCGTCAAACAAACAGGTTGGAGAAGACACCACAACTATGTACTTCATGAAATAAACCAGTCTGACGAATCCTTAGAACAACAGTTACCAATATTATTTAAATAAAGCAAGAATAACGCTGGTTTCTACAGAATAAGATGATAGTATACCACCACTGCTTATTTCGTTGGCTGTGTAGAGCATCAGCCGTGTACACCTCGCCAATTTTACATCATGTCGGTGCGATAGAAAGAAATTTAGTGAACACCAGAAGACTTTCGATGAAGCACTTAATGGAGTAATTGTATCTAAGTACGTTTTTATAAAAAATTAAACTAATTATTTACATTTTGGTGTGAAGAGCTTTCATGGAGAGGTGATTGATTCTGTGCAAGTTAGTGACTATATTATTATTATTTGTTACTTGTTTTCCCAGTGGAGAGTAAGGCCCCAAGCGGGAAATATCTCTATTACACCCTGCACTCTGAATACTCACGTGGCTGGTTTTCTTTATCACACAGGACACGAGCTAAGTTGGGTTGGGTATGGTTGAGTTTTTGTACTTTCTAGTGCGAGCATATATAGTTTTCTATATAGGCTTCTAGTTCTTCCTGATGAAATACAAGGGGAGAGTTGTGAATGAAAAGGGTGTTGTGAGTTAGTTAGATAGATAGAATGGATTTAGCCCATTTTTAACATGAGTCCAAGTGCCTGTCAACCAGAATATTAACGAGCTGGTTAAGTGGCACGTTGCTTATTCTGCTGACAACCTTTAATATCCTACGTAATAAGATATAGCCTTTCTTCAGTAGCCCTGGAACAAATAAGGGGGAACAAGAGAGAATAATAGGCAGGATGCAAGAGTTGACGAATCGTAGGAGTAGGGGTTGGGTTATTCCAGAATGTTTTAACTTCTTGATGTAGAAGGTAAGACGGAATATTTTCTTAGAAATCA